GGAACTACCCAGTGGCGGCGTGCGGGTGGTGAGGGAAGGAGGCAGGGAGGCGAGGGAACCGTGCAGTGGTGGCGTGTGGGTGGTGAGGGAAGGAGGAAGTGGGGAACCTGATCAACCCTGATCACTGGCCAGGCCTACAGACCCTACCTGTGCACCAATTTTGTGCACCAGGCCTCTAGTTTCATATAATGCTTGTTTGGTGGTGATGAATGATGGTTGTTCTGTAGTTTAGTTGTATCTTTTATGTGTTTGTGTGAGTACTCATTTACCTAAAGGCCATCTTGCCCAGAAGTCACCTTTTATTCTTATTGTAGTAGTCCCAACTTCCAGTACTATGCTGAATAAGAGTGATAAGAGTACACATCCTTGCCTTGTTTCCAATCTCCATGAAAACATTGTCTTTCACCATTATCTTTGATGTTAGTATAGGGATATTTGGTGATAGTCTTTATCAAGTCTATACCAGTATAACTTCTATGTTTCTTACTATTTTATAATAAACTAGAGGCCCGGTGCATGAAATTCATGCACTGGGGTGGTATCCCTCAGCCCAGCCTGCACCCTCTCCACTCTGGGACCTCTCAGGGGATGTCCAACTGCCGGCAGTCGGACATCCCATTCACAATCCGGGACTGCTGGCTCCCAACCACTCACCTGCCTGCCTGACTGATTGCCCCTAACCACTTCTGCCTGCCAGCCTGATCAACTGCTAACCACTCCCCTGCCAGCCTGATCGATGCCTAACTGCTCCTCTGCTGACCTGATCGCCCCCAACTGCCCTCCCCTACAGGCCTGGTCCCCCCCAAATGCCCTCCCTTGCCGGTCTGGTTGCCCCCAACTTCCCTCCCCTGCTGGCCTGGTCGCCCCTAACTGTCCTCCCCTGCCGTCCTGGATGCCCCCAACTGCCCTCTCCTGCAGTCCTGGTCCCCCCCAACTGCCCTCCCCTGCCGGCCATCTGTGGTGGCCATCTTTTTTTTTAAAAATATTTTATTGATTTTTTTTTACAGAAAGGAAGGGAGAGGGATAGAGAGTTAGAAACATCAATGAGAGAGAAACATCGATCAGCTGCCTCCTGCACACTCCCCACTGGGGATGTGCCCACAACCAAGGTACATGCCCTTGACCGGAATCGAACCTGGGACCCTTGAGTCTGCAGGCCGATGCTCTATCCACTGAGCCAAACCGGTCAGGGCTGGGGCGGCCATCTTGTGCCCACATGGGGCGGCCATCTTGTGTGAGGGTGTGAAGGTCAATTTGCATATCACATCTTTATTATATAGAATGGATGTGGAATTTATCAAATACTTTTCTGTGTAAGTTGATAGGGTTATGATCTTTCAAAGCTCATTGATTTGGTGAGTTGTATTGATCAATTTCATATATTGAACCAGCTTAGCATAGCTGCAGTAAATCTGACTTGATTATGGTATATAATGCTTAAATATTGTTATATTCAGTCTACCAATATTTTGGTCCTCACCAAATATTGCATTTAAGTTCATGGGAGATTTAGTTAGTTTGTAGTCTTTTTTTTTTTTTTTTTAGTGTACTGTCCTTGTATGATTTTTCTATCAAGGTAATACTGGCCTTATTTTTATTTTTTTAAATTTATTATATGTATTTTATTTCTATCTGTCATTGATGATTGTGAATTTGGTTGACACTTCTATTATAGAGACTGAGCAAATAGCAATATTAAAATATTTCTTATAATTAATTTCCTTTCAATGTGCACAAATTCTTGCACCAGGCCAGTAGTGTTTTCATATGTCTCTTGCCCTTCTGTAGGTCCTCTTTCAAAAAGTGTGTATTGAGTTCTTGTGCTCATTTTTTGATTGGATTGTTTATCTTACTTTTGTTAAGTTGTATGAGTTCCCTGTAAATTTTAGAGATTAAACCCTTATTGGAGATAACATTGGCAAATATGTTCTCCATGCAGTGGGCTTTCTTGTTGTTTTGTTGATGGTTTCTTTTGCTGTGCAGAAGCTTTTAATTTGATGAAGTCCCATTTGTGAATTTTCTCCTTAAGTTTAGTTTCCATTGCCTTAGGCGAGTGGTCGGCAAACTCATTAGTCAGCAGAGCCAAATATCAACAGTACAATGATTGAAATTTCTTTTGAGAGCCAAATTTTTTAAACTTAAACTATATAGGTAGATACATTCAACTTTAAATTCACGGTTTTCGTCTTCCGTTTTTTGCTTCTTCTTTGTAGCCATCTCAAACAGGGCACCTAAAAAAATGTTTCATTTTATAGTAATAAAGCCACCAACACAAAAGAATTACAATTCTTAAATTGATGACAAAAATACCTGTAGGATTTTCAGCTGGTTGGAAAAATACAGGTAACTTTATGCTTCGAGTAGATACTTTTGTCACCCGCGCACGATTTGCGGACGCGACCAGCACTAACCACTGCACAATGAGACTGCTGACTGACTGGCTCACTCAACTCGTGCATGAATCGCATGCACCTCCCCCGCGCTGCGTATCCCGTGGCCCACCTGCGCCGCGTCTCCCGTCGCCCGACCAACGGACACCCTCCACTTCTTCTAACGCCACTTCTTCAAAGTAGACTCGCCCAGGCCGAAAACCGACTTCTGCGCATGGGCCACGAAGTTTCAATTGCACTGTACGTGTGCGCCTGCACATGGTATTTTGTGGAAGAGCCACACTCAAGGGGCCAAAGAGCTGCATGTGGCTCACGAGCTGCAGTTTGCCGACCACTGCCTTAGGCGTTGTATCAGTAGAGATATTGCTTCTTCTAAGATTTTTATGGTTTCCCATCTTATGTTTAAGTCCTTTATCCATATTGAGTTTATTTTTGTGTATGGTGTAAGTTGGTGGTCTAGTTTCTTTCTTTTTTTGCATTTATCTGTCCAATTTTCCCAACACCATTTATTTAAGAGACTATCTTGACTCCATTGTATACTCTTGCCTCCTTTGTCAAATATTAATTGAGCATATTGGCCTGGGTCAATTTCTGGGTTCTGTTCTGTTCCATTGGTCTGTATGTCTGTTCTTGTGCCAGTACCAGGCAGTTTTGAGGACAGTGGCTTTGTAATATAGCTTGGTATCTGGTATTGTGATCCCTCCAATTTTCTTATTCTTTTTCAAGATTGCTGCAGCTATTCGGGGTCTTTTTTTTATTCCAGATGAATGTTTGGAGTGTTTGTTCTTGGTGTGTGAAATTTTGCGTTGGTATCTTAATGGGGATTGCATTGAATCTATAGATTGCTTTGAGTAGTATGGGCATTTTAATGATGAAAGAACTTTGTGATTTCTGCTCTGATATTTATTATTTGCTTTCTTCAACTTGATTTGGGTTTATTTTGCTTTTTTTTCTAGTTTCTTGGGGAAGAAAATTAGATTATTGATTTGAGACCTTTTCCCTTTTCTATTGTAAGCATTTCGGCTGTACATTTTCCTCCAAGCACTTCTTTAGCTTCATTCCACCTATTGTGATAAGTTGTAATTTCATTTTCATTCAACTATGTATTTTTTTTTATTCCTCACCCAAGTATATTTTTTCCATTGATTTTCTAGAGAGAGTAGAATGGGGGTGCGGGGCAGAGAGAGAGGGAGAGGAGAGGGAGAGAGAGAAAAAAAGAAAGAGAACATTGATGTGAGAGAGACACATAGATTGGCTGCCTTCTGCATGAGACCAGGGATAGAACCTGCAACCCAGGTACATACTCTTGACCAGGAATAGAACCTGAGATCCTCCGGTGTGCGGATCAATGCTCCAACCACTGAACCACACTGGCCAGCACTCAAATATGTATTTTTACATTTCTTTTGAGACTTTCTCTTTAAACTATGGACTATTTCGAAGTATTGTTTAACTTCATTTATTTTTTAGATTTGTGGTCTTAGATTTTGTTTTTTGAATTCTTGTCTGATTTCATTTTTATCAGATTGCCTTTTCTTAAGTTATGAATTTTTTTTGTTTGTTCTCAGTCTGATGGGTGATTTTTTATTGTGTCCTCATTTTATCTATTATGTTAGGTGAGTCTGGGTCCTATTTAAATAATTTAATGGCAGTCACCATGTTTTAGTTTATCACATAAGTTCTTTCCTACTTTTATGGGATATGCTCCAGTGACAATTTTAATTTTCAGAGACTGTTTGTCATTTTCTTGGTTTATGTGGCACTGATAGGGCTCCCATGTGTCCCGCCTGGTGCTCCCTGAGGGTAAGGAAGGTATTTACCTAGGCCAGAGTATCTCTCATTGGGAATTGGGAGTCTCAGATCCACAGGGATGAATAGGCCCCCTGGGCCAGGCCACTTGTGCCTAGGCATCTTGCTAGTTCTGCCTGCCCATTTGGTGTTTTGTAATGGATTCTTATGTTGTCAGAAGGTTTTCCATTAAGACTGGGGAAGGAAGAAGCCTGTTCAGGAAGCCTTCTGTTTGTAGGTTGAGAGTTAAAAAACATTAGATCTGGGTTGCCTTCTTCTGTTAGGTGTGGGTATGTAAGAAACCTTGCTATGTTATTCTCCTAGTCCCGGGGTCCCAAACTATTTTCCCTTCTTTTTACCACTTTTTAAAATTCTCTGTTGGTCCCTGGCTGGCATGGCTCAGTTGTTTGGGTGTCATCCCATGCACTAAATGTTGCCAGTTTGATTCCTGGTCAGGGCACATGCCCTGGTTACACGTTCAATCCAAATAGGGGGCATGCAGGCGGCAGCCAGTTGATGTTCAGCTCTCACATCGATGTTTCTCTCTCCTTCTCCCTTCTTGTCTCTCAAAATCAATTTTTTAAAATCTTTTTTAAATGTTATTAAAATTCTCTGTTGGTTGTGTCTTAGATTCTTTAATTGGTTTGTTGTTGGGCCTAGCAGGGAGGATCAGGGAGAAACAGGTCTATGCAGTATTGTCTGGATTGGACTAAAAACCACTTGTTCCTGTATTTTTTAAAAATCATTGATTTTATTTAAGCTCCATTCCTAGTTTTGTTGTTCTGGGACACAGATGGCTGATTCTTCTGTTTATTTCAACAGGGTTAAAGCTCAAAAATGACACTGGAAATGACCCACCTATGTCTACTTCTACATTAGAAATACAAACATCAGGATGCAAAGTATTAAGAAAGGCCAGAATGAAAGTTGCCCAGAAAACAACGGACAAAGAAAATCATGGTGGTACACATAAGGTACGGAAACGGCCTCGAGCTTTTCTGGTGAAGAAGAGAAAGAAACTTTCAACTTGTAAGCAAGAGCTTCCAAAACATATGGATCTTCACGGGAAAGGCCATGCAGGAGAGAAACCTTTTAAATGTCAGGAATGTGGGAAAGGCTTCAGAGTCAGCTCTGACCTAATTAAGCATCAGAGAATTCACACTGAAGAGAAACCCTATAAATGTCAACAGTGTGATAAGAGGTTTAGATGGAGTTCAGATTTAAATAAGCACTTAATGGCACACCAAGGAATAAAACCATATAGATGCTCATGGTGTGGGAAAAGCTTTAGTCATAACACAAATCTACACACACACCTAAGAATTCACACAGGAGAGAAGCCCTTTAAATGTCATGAATGTGGAAAAAGATTCATTCAGAACTCACACCTTATTAAACACCAAAGAACCCACACAGGTGAGCAGCCTTATTCCTGTAGCATATGTAGGAGAAACTTCAGCAGGCGGTCAAGCCTTCTTAGACACCAAAAGCTCCACGGGAGAAAGGAATCATGTCCAGAATCTCCAGTCTGAAGAAAGTCACCATATGGAGCTTGACCCTAGAGGCAATAAAAGAATACAAAATCATGAGGCACCTAGGATTCTATCATTAACAGAAAATTTGGGAGGGGTACATGTCATGCTTCACATAAAGGAATCTAAGTTGTCTCTCTTATTCAGCATTGTGTCTTTAGTGCCTAGCACAAGACTGATAACATAATGGGTACTTTTTAAATAAAAGAATGAAAATATAGCAATCATATGTCTATAGTTATCTATCTATCTATCTATCTATTACCTTCCCAACCCTATGTGATTTAAATTCTTCAGGTAGGTATCAGGTCCTCAGCTAATGTATCATTCTCAGGAGAGGTGGAAAGTAAGAATATTCAGGTTCTCTGAAGGGAGCTCAGAGAGTATTACTACGTTAGACTTCCTAGGGCTATTATTCTTTGTGGATGAACAACCAAGCCCATGGCTCAGGGAACTTTATTCTGGAACAGTAAGAGAGGATTCACTGTTTGCCCTGGGAGAAGTACACCCATTCTAGTTGCTTCTCCCATGAACACTACTGCAATGTTTTCTGTCAAGGAATTTCAAGTCACATGTGAGGGCCTGATATCAACACAGAACTTGGGACCTTGTAAGCACTTGCTATATCTCCTCCTGCTGATCCTTTCAACACTGAGGTATATAGTGTAATGGTGAAGGAGGCAGTCTGGGCCCTCATTCAGTTATCTTCGAAAGCACAGAGCAGTGGTTAATGGTCTTTTTTTACTTTAACTTTGTGGACTGGAGGCTTTCAAATTGGTGCCACACTGCTCCAGGGCCTAAAGGGACGCCCATTATTATAGCTGTTCAACAGAACCCCATACACCTGGATGCTCTGCTGAAGATCTTGAGATTTTGTAAACTACTTTACTGTGAAATGCAAGGAGAGCCCTGTGACCTAACCTCAATGCACATATCAGGAGGAAACATCCAGAAGTGTCAGAGCAAAGTAAGGCCTGTGGCTTAGAATGATGGCCTCAGTGAGAGCTTGGTCAGATGGAAACTGGTTTTTGACATTGGCGCTTTCTCTTCCTTCCCCATTGGCCTCAGTGATTATCTCTGAAAAGTAATGTGATGTCAAGGGAAGTTGGAAGACATGGATTTATATCTTCATCCAATCCTAGCTTAAGATGTTGACCAAGGCTTCTATATATTGATTCATAAAATTGTACCTTTTTATGAAAGTGGCATGTTGTTTCATATTAAATTTGAACATTAAACAAAACATTGTTACCAAATTATATAGAGATGGCCAATGTTCACTTTTTTGAAATACATATATATATATATATATATATATATATATATATTCAGATTTTTTTTTTATCAAGAGACTTCTTTAAGCCTATTTTCAGTTTTGTAAAATGGAGATAATTCCTTCTTCTCAGGGCTGCTGTGAGGATTAAATGAGACATGTGAGCATGCCTAACACTGATGGGCCACATAACTATTCCATAAATATTTGGAGCATTCATCTTTCACCTAGTTTTTTTTTAATTTTTAAAAATTTTATTTGATTTTTTCAGTTACAGTTTACATTCTATATTATTTTGTATCAGTTTCAGGTGTTTTATTCCTCACCTGAGTATATGGTTTTTTTAATTGATTTTTTTTTATATAGAGAGGAAGGGAATGAAAGAAAGAGAAAGAAACATCCATGCGGGGATCGAGCCCAAAGTCTAAATATGTGCCCTGACTAGGAATAGAACATGCAACCTTTTGGTATATGAGACAATGCTCTAACCAACTGAGCCACCCAGCCAGGGCACTAGTTATTTTTTAAAAAATATATTTTATTGATTTTTTACAGAGAAGAAGGGAGAGGGACAGAGAGTTAGAAACATCGATGAGAGAGAAACACTAATCAGCTGCTTCCTGCACACCCCCCCACCGGGGATGTGCCCACAACCAAGGCACATGCCCCTGATCGGAACCGAACCCGGGACCCCCCAGCCTGCGGGCAGACGCTCTATCCACTGAGCCAAACCAGTCAGGGCAGTTATTATTTTTTTTAAATCAACTTTATCTAGTCCAGATTTTAAGCATCCCTAACTAATGGGATGTTTAAGCCTGTTCATGATGGTCTGAATGGTAGCCTTCTGGTATAACATTTTCTGAGGTGCTTCTCTCTAGGCCAGGGGTGGGCAAACTTTTTGACTCGAGGGCCACAATGGGTTCTTAAACTGGACCGGAGGGCCGGAACAAAAGCATGGATGGAGTGTTTGTGTGAACTAATATAAATTCAAAGTAAACATCATTACATAAAAGGGTACGGTCTTTTTTTTTTTTTTTTTTTTTTTTTAGTTTTATTCATTTCAAACGGGCCAGATCCAGCCCTTGGGCCGTAGTTTGCCCACGGCTGCTCTAGGCTGTTAAACAATTAGCTAATGTCCCTATTCAGCTAGTTATACTTTAAATGAGGGACAGAACCAAAATATACTAGATGCCTGGAAAAGGAAGGGGGAGGTGATGGCTGGATTGGAATTTTTGTGGATAGTATTTACACCGTTAGGTGCATCCTCAAACTAAGAAAGAAGGAAAAGGTGAGTGTACAATGGTAACTAAGAAGAATGAAAGTGTTAAGCCCAGAGTAAGAAGTCGCCTGGAAGGATAAGATCCCACAATATTCCTAAAACTTGGAGGCTGACTGCCCCCTCCCCCATCCTTTCCAGAATTTAATGTGATTGTGTCCTTGGAACTAAGGGGACATTAAACTTCTTGCAGAGGGTACTCTCTGCATGAATCCATGTTTAGTAGCACCCTGGGTAGCTGCTATCATTATCACTTCATATAACATTTAGAACAGTGACTCAAAAATGGAAGGAAGTACTGCATCAATGAAGCCAGCAGTTACTGTCTACTCGAGAGATTCAGCAAAGTTCCTAACAACAGGTGAGCAAAAGGGCACTCCATTTTCACATAACTGCCAATCCCTGTTACAACACCTGTTAGCTTGAAAACTCATTTTGCAGATTCTCATCTAGCATTCCCAGGAGAGGTAAAAAACAACAGGGAATATGGGTCCTGTTATAGAAATTGGTTATTTAAGGTGTCAGGAAGGCCTTTAGATATGAATGGGCAGAAACAGGAAGGGAAGTGAGGATTCTTGATTCCAAGTTCAAACTGCATTTCCCTTTGACTACAATGGCTACAGGAAAAACGGACAGTCTTGTTCTCATGGTGTGGAACACTAGAAGTTGGGGGTTCCTCGCTGACACATCAGCACCTATTCTTTCATCCCTCTGACACAGCCTCGTAGGGCCCCATTTCCCATGCATCCTGACCATTTGTATCAACACTCACCATAAAAAAGACATGAGCACTAAGAAAAGTGGCTGAATGGAATAAAGGGGAGAGCTGTCACTGCTTTTTACTTGCCCATTACCTCCACAATATATGGCTAAGAGATGTGAACTCCACTGCCTTTCTAAAGACAACAGGAAGACAGCATATGAAAACTCAGGGACTGGAGAAGCAGGCCAATTATTTTTTCAGGGAACTGAAGTAGCGGAGTATTCCAACTTCAGATCCAACAGGAGGCAAAAGCTTGACCTGAGCCAGGTGTGAGTTTACATCCCAGTCTCTGAGCTCCTATCCTCAGAAAGTGAACAACATCAGGGAAAAGATTAGCTGGACAAAGAGCATGAGAACGGAGCTGGGATAGCAGAGGACAGCAGTCCTTTCCCACTCAGGTCTGCATTTGTAAGGCCTGTGGTAGGAAGTCATGGGCTCAGCAAGCAGAAATCTGCTGCTTGCTGTGGTTGAGGCACACGAGCATGCCATTGACACCAGGCCATTTCATGCAGGACTCATGTCTTTACATTCTCCCTCCAAGCAAATGACATGGCTTCTAACCCAAATCCTGTTCAGGTCCCTTTTCACTGACTTACTCCCCCTACCACAGGTCAGCTCTGCTCCCTGACACTACCTATTCCTTTCCCACAGCACAGGAAAGGTGCCCAGGGACATGAGCCCATAATTGTAATTGTGTTCCTCTGTTCCAAGAGGAATGGACACAATAACTAAGAATGGCTGAGGGTGGGGAGAGTTTTTAATTTAAAAAGTCCTGTTCCTGGCTGGACAGCTGGACACAGTTGCTGCTAAGCCCTTCCATTTTTATTCTTGTCTTTGCCTTCTCTCGGTTGCCTGTTCCTTACTACTCTGTGGATTTAGGCAAGGGACACAGCTATGGAAGAAGGGTCAAGGAGTCAGGGAAATTCCCGAAGACCAGCAATCATGAACGTTTGAGGGGAGAAGGCAGTGGCCATGGTTGAGTGGAGCATGGTGAGTGCCATATAACCTCAGCTCTTCTGGACAAACCAGCGAAGGGAGGGAGGAAAGGAGGCCAGGCCACCTTTGGGAAGCAGTTCTGCTCTAGGGCTGGGATTTAGTGATGAAGTAGAAAGGAAGAGCTAGGAAACACCAAGAAAGATTTCCCATGAACCTTCTCAGGTTCGGTTTGTCTAAGCAAGACTTGGAGTGGCAAGAAGGAACTGACTCCCAACACAAGGGCTGCAGACACCTCAGAAGAACTCAGATTTGGTAGCACAAGATCTCATGTCTGAGGGAGTTATCTCTTCAGGTAGTGTGAAGCTACTCAGAAGCACAGCTAGAATCACCTCAATAGAACAAGACACTCTTATTACCCAGGAAATTCCAAGGGATTTAGGAACTCTGTTTCAAAAACTGGCCCCACCCTAGGTGGTTTGGCTCAGTGGGTAGAGCATCAACCTGTGGACCGAAGAGTCCTGGGTTCAATTCTGGTCAAGGGCTCATACCTTGGTTGCAGGCTCCTCCCCAGCTCCGACCCTGGTCAGGGTGTGTACAGGAGGCAACCAATCGATGTGTTTCTCTCACATCAATATTTCTGTCTTTCCCTCTTTCTTCCACTCTCTAAAAATCAATGGAAAAATATCCTCCTTGGATGAGGATTACAAACAAACAAAAAAACTGGTGCCAAAGACCAACTATTACAACAAAAGATGCTTCTAGTGTTATCTCTTAGGACATTACAAAGGTTTTAGGAGCTTTGTGCCAGGAACTGGGAGCAGAATTCAATATATATTTTTTCTATTATTTTACATTTACTCTCTATTTTATATATTTGAAATTAATGACAACACAATAAAATTCAAATGACTTCAAAACCCTGTGCTTATCCCCACTAAAACTAGGGTTGCATATAGTTGAAATGATGATAGCCACATATTT